ATAGCTTTGTTCAGCAAAAAACCTAAAGTTTATTTGTGAATACTTTTGTTTTGGCAAAGAAAAAATTGGTATCCGCAAAAGAAAAATTATAACCATTTCAATGAAAATTCAAAATACTTTGTAAAATAACAACAATAAGTATTCACAATATTACAAAAATGCAACAAAAAATTTTATTCAAATTTTTTTTTCATAAGTTCCATTTTTTTAAACTGAGTTTCGAAAAAAGTTTTAATTAATTAGTAATTAAATGACAGTTTTAAAGGTTAAATGAGTTAAATGACAGTTTTAAAGGTTAAATGAGTTAAATGACAGCTTTAAAGGTTAAATGAGTTAAATGACAGTTTTAAAGGTTAAATGAGTTAAATGACAGTTTTAAAGGTTAAATGAGTTAAATGACAGTTTTAAAGGTTAAATGAGTTAAATGACAGTTTTAAAGGTTAAATGAGTTAAATGACAGTTTTAAAGGTTAAATGAGTTAAATGACAGTTTTAAAGGTTAAATGAGTTAAATGACAGTTTTAAAGGTTAAATGAGTTAAATGACAGCTTTAAAGGTTAAATGAGTTAAATGACAGTTTTAAAGGTTAAATGAGTTAAATGACAGTTTTAAAGGTTAAATGAGTTTAAATGACAGTTTTAAAGGTTAAATGAGTTAAATGACAGTTTTAAAGGTTAAATGAGTTAAATGACAGTTTTAAAGGTTAAATGAGTTAAATGACAGTTTTAAAGGTTAAATGAGTTAAATGACAGTTTTAAAGGTTAAATGAGTTAAATGACAGTTTTAAAGGTTAAATGAGTTAAATGACAGTTTTAAAGGTTAAATGAGTTAAATGACAATTTTAAAGGTTAAATGAGTTAAATGACAGTTTTAAAGGTTAAATGAGTTAAATGACAGTTTTAAAGGTTAAATGAGTTAAATGACAGTTTTAAAGGTTAAATGAGTTAAATGACAGTTTTAAAGGTTAAATGAGTTAAATGACAGCTTTAAAGGTTAAATGAGTTAAATGACAGTTTTAAAGGTTAAATGAGTTAAATGACAGTTTTAAAGGTTAAATGAGTTAAATGACAGCTTTAAAGGTTAAATGAGCCACTTAACTACTTTTATTCTCCTAAAAATAAAACGTGATCATCAAACAATATAAAGCAAAAATAAGTTATTTTGCTTAAATTTTCTTATCTCAAAGGATGTTTTTCTCACCTATTGTTTGTTTGTTTATTTATCACTTGCACTTTAAAAAAAGTGTTATCATTTCTAGTTAATACTTGAAATCAATTTTATAAAAAAATTAATTAATTTTAAAAAAATCATTAAAATTGAGTTAACTTAAGGAAAAAAATTTAACCACGAACTGTATTTATTCTTCTACTTATCAAATATATTTAGTATCTTTTATCATATGTTAATTCAATAAAATTTTTGATAACTTTTTTTATACTGTACATTAAAGGTTATTATGGATCCAGAACTATTTTTATTCCAATACTTAAAAACATTTTTTATAAGGAGGAATGGATTGTTTAAAACTATTTTCGTTTGAAGAACTGGTTGACAATCTTAGTTCGATAGTTTAAGGAAGGCTTTTTAACATACTAGGAGGGTGGTTAGAATCAACATTAATATAACTGATGGAATTACCAGGTTTGCAATAAGGTTGAAAATAATTGTCATTATGATTTAACGTTAAGTCCAGATAATTAATAACTTTAAATTACTGCTGATGGATATAAAAAGATCATTATTTTAAAAATTTCACAGTGTTTTTTAACTTTTTCCATCTGTTGACCACTCCGGTTCTTAAATACTGCTAGAATGTCATCATTATACAATTGGAATTCATCTTTATTGTAAGAATGCAATAATTGAAACAAGATAAATATTCCAACTAACTCACAAACTTGTGCGCCATTAAAGACTCCCATGGTTACATTAAATAAACCTCCACTTTTTTTAATCCAGGCTTCACCATTGTTAAATAATAATGATTTCCTGGCATGATGTATAAACTTTTTTTCATCTTGTTTTATTATTGAGTATTTTTCAACAAATGTTATAGCGTTGTTCAGTAAATTTTCATTAATTAAAGGATAAAAATCAATTATATTGAAAAATAAGAATTTGTATAGATGTTTTTCTTTATTATTTTGAAACCAATCTATAAAGTTCTGTGAGTTTAGCCATTGGTTGATGCAAACTTTTTGTTTAAGATCACTATTTATTTTTGATAAAATAACTTTTGAAATTCTTTCTAATTTGTTTTTTGCAGGAATTATTACGCGAACTGTAAGGTTGTTTAAAAAATTATCCTTGTGGTCTTTTAGAGTGATAAAACAATTAGAGATGCCATTTAATTCAATTTTGTTTAAAACATCACGATTAATTAAAAGGTTAAAGTTTAGTTGAAAGTGTTTAAAATATAAAAGGTTAAAATATAGTTAAAAGTATTTACTTTCAATATTTATTCAATCTTTTAGATTTTGATTAGCCTTTTTATATGTAGATGTAATGGCGTTCTTAAGGAGGTGGTTATACTCTTCTTTGGAAATTCTGTACATATTAGAAATTTTGTTGGCTTGAGTTAAAGTATATCACTAGAAAGCTTTTTTGAAACTTAACGTTTACTTAACGAAATTTAATATTTTTAACTAGATTAATTAAATCATTTTCAAACATTTCATCTATATAAAGATGATATTTTGCAGATTTAATACCATAGTTTTCAGGTTTCCATGAATTAGTTGTGTCAGAAAGTTTATTAAGAAAGAATAAAGCATTCTTTTTATGAGTGTTTCAGTCTTTTCCAGTAACTGTAATAAAAATTCTTTGTCCAATGGAATAGCAATATATATATATATATATATATATATATATATATATATATATATATATATATATATATATATATATATATATATATATATATATATATATATATATATATATATGTATATAGGTTTACCATACGTCCCGTTTTGACCGGGTTTGTCCCGGTTTTATACTATTTGTCCTGGTGTCCCAACTGTTTCAATGTTGTCCCGTTTTTGTTTGATTGGTCGGAACTCAATTTTTTTCTTAGTGCATTATTTTACTATATCTGGGTTGATTGGGGTTTTTATTTTGTTTTTAAGTAGATTTAATCATTTTTTTCATAAAAAAAAAATGATCTTGAGTGATAAAGAAAAATTGAATCAAAACAAAAATAAAAAAACGATTAAAGTAAAAAAAAAAAATTTGTTTAAAAAAAATAAATGAACAGAATCTAATCATGAGAATTTGTTCTAGAACAAATTCTCACACTAAAGTTTCTTATTTAATTGAACTTGTTTCATTAATTTTTATTCGATTTTTTCTCTAAAAAAGGTTCTTTTAATGAAGTTTTTCCGATGTTAGGAAAAACATTAGAAAGTTCTAATATTTAAAAAGAGTTTAAAAAGTGTTTTTTATATTAAAATTTTTTAATGTAAAAAAACCTGTTAACATTGGCTTTTGTTTAAAATGCCAAAAAGGAGTTGCAAATTTACGGAAGAATTACAAAAAGATTACTCATTTTAAAAAAAAATTTGTGGCGAGGACAACAAGGTGATATGCCAGCATTGCTTGACAGAATTTTCTGTTGCACATGGTGAAAGAGCAGATATAAAAAATCATTTAAAGTGTGCCAAACACAAGGATGGGGTCTCTGCTGCAGCAAGTTCTTCATCTATTAAATCTTTTTTTAAAAACGATGGACTTAATGAGGATGATTTAGTTATTGCGCCCAAAGTAGCAACATTTGCCTTTCACACGGCAATGCATAATATGAGCTTCAAAACTTCTGATTGTTTGTCAAAATTAATCTCAAAATTTTTTGAACCGAAATTTGGTGGTGCAAGAACCAAATGTTAAACTATAACTTTAAATGTTCTAGCACCTTTGTCGTTGAATGAATTACAAGCTGACTTACAGATGACACATTATGTTAGTGTTTCTAATGACACTTTAAATAGAAAAGAAGTAAAAATGTCACCTGTTGTTGTCAGATACTTTTTACCATTGGAAGGTGTCCGTGTAAAGTTGCTGGATTTTGAGTCTGTTGATGGCAAAACATCAGAAATATTGACTGATAAGTTAATTTCAACATTGCAGCTTCATGCAATTGATAAAAAGATAGTGGCCTTTTGTCCTGAAAACTGCAACACAAATTTTGGTGGAGTCCATAGAAGAGAAAAAAATAATGTTTACAACCGGCTAAAACAACTTGGTGTTAGTATTGTTGGCATTGGATGTGGTGCACATATTGTGCACAATACATTTCAATCTGCTGTGGATGGTCTGCCAATCGATATTGAAGCTCTTGTTGTAAAAATATATAAACATTTTCATATCAATACGGTAAGAGTAACTAAATTGAAGGAATTTTGTAAATTTGTAGATGTGGAGTATAGGAAATTAATCAAGCATGGAAGTACCAGATTTCTTTCTCTGTTTCCAGCAGTTGAACGAATATTATTTATTTTTGAAGGACTAAAGTCATATTTTTTTTCACAAAAGAACTGCCACGTGCCTTGCCATTTTTTTTTTAAAGTGAAAGTGGTAAATTACATTTTTAGTTTGTGTACGGACAACTTAATAATTTTAACAAGACTATTCTGATGGAAAAAAGCCAAGCAAATGCTACAGACATTATTTTGGAACTAAAAAAGCTAAAATCGAATCTGGTGGAAAAGATGAATAGTTACTTTCTCCCACAAGGAGCGAAACAACTGCTGAGAAAACATTTATGACAGAGATAAATAACTTTTATAGAGGATGTATTTCTTATATTGAACTATGGGAAAACAGTTTTGGCGGTGCTGAGATATTAGCGTGGATTGGGCATGATCACGTACTGAAATGGGAGGAGATTGAACAATCTGTCGAAGCAATAAACGAAATACATGGTTTGGATGATCGGAAAAAAATTTTAATTGACAGTCTTTTTGATGAGATATCAAGTGCAAAAACTTTTTTTGCATCAAAAAACGAAGAGTAGAGTTCATTAACCACAAAAATTGCTTATGATGACAAATGGGTTCAATTATTCCAGCATTTTCAAGAAAAAGACATTTCTGTACCTAATCTAGTTAAACTTATTGAGTGCGTTTTGTGTCTTCCAGGAACATCTGCACCTGTAGAGCGTGTTTTTTCAATTATGAAAAACATTTGGTCGGATGACTGAGGCCTCTTGCAAGAGTCTACAGTCCCGGCATTACTGTACTGCAAATTGATCTTTGCCATTACATGCCCGGTTTTTTATGATAAAATTAAAAAAAATAGTAAATTGCTGGAAAAAGTGCATTCTAGCTAGGGTATAATAGCAGAGAATAATAAAAGAATGTTATAATACAAGTCGATACTTTTTTGTTTGTATTTGGAACTCTTGAAAGGATTAAAAAAATAAACAATTTTAGTTTCTTTTCTCAAATCAATATGTTTACTGAGTCAAAGTTATCCGTTTAAAAAAAAAGAGTAATGTTGTTCTGTTTGCTCGAACTTTGTTACAGGGTGCAAAACACATAAAGCATACTTTAAAAATACTCCTCCCCCCACCTATTATTTCTAATATTTTCACCCCCGGTCTGTCCCAGTTTATAACTTCAAAATTATGGTAAGCCTATATATATATATATATATATATATATACATATATATATATATATATATATATATATATATATATATATATATATATATATATATATATATATATATATATATATATATATATATATATATATATATATATATATATATATATATATATATATATAAGCTGTATATATAAGATATTTTATAAAAGCTGTGTATGTAAGAGTATAATTATAAAAAATAAAATAACCCACATTTGCTGGCATTGGGCTAGCCTGAATAACTCCAGTAATTATATCAGTAATGAATTGAAAATCAGCTATTTTGATATTAGTATTGTTAGTTAAGACAGTTGACAAATTAGCAGCAATTGTATCAGCATTTTCACTAGTTACGGTCTAAAAAAAAAACAAAACAAAAGTAAATAGATATAAAAATAATTTTTATATCAAATAAAATAAGGCTTTAATCTACAAACACAAGATAATTTGAAACTAATATTTTAACCCTTTCACTTCACAATAAAATTCTTATCTTAAGAAAAATTAAACTAAAAATTTTTTTTAAGAATATTCAAAAAAAAAAAAAACAAATAAAAAACATATCTCATTTTCAATAAAACATTTAAATATTATATCAAAAGTAAGAAAAACTGTGAACGAGTTAGTGGTAATAATGAAATCAAAATAACTTCATAAAAAATTGCTTTTTAAGAAGTCATTCCATATAAAACATAAAATACTTTTAGGAAGACATTGTTTTGCATTTTTTTGCTAAACTTTTTTAAATATATTTCAAAAAAGTTTAGCAAAAATTTTTAAGCGTACAGCGTGAATATTTCCTTTTTAAACTTAAAGTTTTTAACATTTCGCTTAGTTGCGACAATTGCAACTAAGCGAAAGTTGAATTCAAAAACTGTTAAAGTCAAATACAATGCACTGAAGAAAGTATAAATTGTCATCTTTAAGTCAAAGGTGGTTTTAAAATATAAATTACCAGAGAACACCTTATCTACCTGGTTGAGAAACAAGGAAAAGGTTTTTGATGCTGTGGAGAAAGGAAACAACCCAAAACGCCAGTGTATTAGGAAAGGGTCATTTGCAAATTGGGATCAAACCATTTTCAAATAGCTTCTGGTTGTTTGTAGCAGAGGTATGACTGTATCTGCTTTAATTCTCAAAACTAAAGCCATGGAATTTGCTGAAAGAATAAACATTAGAAACTTTCATGCTTCAGATGGCTGGTTAGACCGTTGGAAGAAACAATACAACATATCATTTAAAACGGCTTCTGGTGAAGCTAATGCTTGTACAAGTGAAATGTTAGCACCATGGGAGAAAACCACATTACCAACCATTTTATCAAAATATAAGTTGAACCAGATTTATTATGCTAACGAATTTAGCTTGTTTTATTGGCTCCAATCAAATCAATCTTTACATTTTAAAAATGAAAAATGTGTCGGTGGGAAACACAGCAAACTACATCTTACAGGATTGGTATCTGTTAATGCATTAGAGAAAAAATTGCCAATGTTTGTTATTGGTAAAGCTAAATTGCTCAGATGCTTTAAAAATGTAAAGCATTTACCCTGCTGTTATCGCAGTCAGAACAAAAGTTGGATGGATGGCACACTATTCGAGGAATGTGTTGGTTAAATTGATTGGTAATTTACAAAAGAAGGACTAAATATTGTTTTATTAGTTAATAATTGTCTAGCGCATCCAAATATTGATAATCTCAATTCAATAGAACTAATTTTTTTACTACCAAACACTACCTTGGAGCATTATAAATTACCTGTTCAAAAATTAATAGATGCAATAGAAAAAAAAGCCTCCTCCAGAACTTACTATAATGGATGTCATGCAAATGCTTGATGTTGCTTGGGGTT